ATGGGAGCACGAGGCAATTCCAGGACATTCCCACAGCCCTCTGGAATGCTGCCTGTTCCGGAGATTCCCGGCCCTTCCCAATGTTCCAACCCGGAGCTCAGAGCTGAGCCCAGGAGGAGGAGGAGGAATTCCAGGGGAATTCCAGGGGAATTCCAGGGAATTCCAGGATTTGGAGCTGACAGCCCCGCTGTGCTTCCAGGCTCGGCGCTGGCCTATTCCGCCTACGTCTTTCCTCTGGAATGGGTTGGGAGCACATTCCATGATTTCTACGTTCCCGTGGCCGTGCTCAACTCCGTGCTCAGCACTGGCCTGTCCTGCTATTCCAGGTAGGATCCAGCGGGAATTTGGGATGAGGGGTTTGCTCACGGGCTGGGCCGGATGGGAGGCGGGGAAGGGGAGAGAGGGAATTTTTCTGTTGGGAAATGAGGAGAATTCGCCGATGAAAATGTGGAGTAACTGGAGGAGCTTCAATTTTTGGGAAGTTCCAAAGGGGATTTGTGGAATCCTGGAATGGTTTGGATTGGGAGGGAAACTTGGAGATGATCCAGGTTCTCTATCCCAGAGAAGCTATCCCAGAGTCCGCCGTCCTGGAGAAGCTGTGGAATTCCCTGTGTATCCCATGTAGAATTCCTGGTGTTCCCTGGGATATCCCACGTGGAATTCCCTGTGTTTCCCTGTGTATCGCATGTGGAATTCCCTGTGTTTCCCTGTGTATCCCATGTGGAATTCCCTGTGTATCCCAGTGTATCCCACACAGAATTCCCTGTGTTTCCCAGGTTTCTGGAGGCGGAGCGGCCCCACCTGAGCAAAGCTTTCCGAACTTTGGCCTTCGTGTATCCCTACATTTTCGACAGCATCCCAGTTTTCTACAGGGTGTGTATCCCACAAAATCCTGGGAAATTTCAGCTGCCTGGAATTCTTTGGGAAAACAGGCCCAGCTCGGGGTTTGAAAGGCAAACAAACTCCGGCAGGAAAAGGCCCTGGGATATTTTTTCCTGCTCTCATTGCCGGCGAATTCCTCCCGCTTCAAAGGGCTGGAAAATTCCTGCCTTGGGAAGCTGGGAGGGATTAAACTTTTCCAGGGATTGAACTGGAGCAGGGTGGGAATTTGGGCCGGCAGGAATGGAGGTGATGGGAGTGGGGAACTGGGAATGGCTCCTTGGGATTGATGGATCAATCCCGCTTTTTTTCTGGGAAGCAGGGCTGGAGTGGGGCTGAGGGGAGTGGGGAACTGGGAATGGCTCCTTTGGGATGGATGGATGGATGGATGGATGGATGGATGGATGGATGGATGGATGGATGGATGGATGGATGGATGGAGCCATGGATGGAGCCATGGATGGAGGGATGGATGGATGGAGGGATGGATGGATGGATGGATGATGGAGGGATGGATGGATGGATGGATGGATGGATGGATGGATGGATGGATGGATGGATGGATGGAGCCATGGATGGATGGATGGAACCATGGATGGATGGATGGATGGATGGCTCCCGTTTTTGCCGGCAGCTGTCCCGGAGCTGCTCCGAGGCCTCGCTCCCGCTGCATTCCCGGCACAGCCTCTGCGCCCTCCTCACCTTCCTGAGCTTCACCTCCCGCCTGCCCGAGCGCCTGGCGCCGGGGAGCTTCGACTTCATCGGTGAGCATTGCTGGGAATGCCGGGAATAAACCCTGGGAATGAACCCCAGGAATGCTGGGAATTAACCCAGGGAATGCCAGGAATGACCCCAGGGGAATGCCAGGAATAACCCCATGGGGTCCCAGGGGTGAACCCAGGGAATGCCGGGAATAAACCCCATGGAATCCAGGGAATAAATTCCTCGGAGCCACAGATGTTTGGAATAGGAATTACACGGAGGATAAAACCCTAGGAAATGGGAATAGGATTTTGTATAATGATAAAACTCCAGCAATCAGGAGCAGGAATTTGTGGGATAAATATTCCCACAAATACGGAGCGTGCTGAGCATGAGTCAGTCCTGGAATCCTGGAATTCCGGGATGTTTTGGATGGGCAGGGCCACCTCCCACTATCCCAGAGCTCTCCAAGCCCCCGGAGCATTCTGGGGACGTGGAATCCACCTGGCCCAGCCGAACACCCCTGGAATTTCCATGGAATTCTCAGAGAGGTTTCTGTTGCAGGGCACAGCCACCAGGTTTTCCACATCTGCGGGATCCTGGGAACGCTCTTCCAGCTGGAAGCCGTCTCCATGGACATGGCGGAGCGGCGGGGCCGCCTCCCGCTTCCCTCTTCCCTGGAAACCTTCGGATCCCTGGGAATGGGGGCAGCCGCCAGCCTGGCCATCCTCGGGGTCTGCTTCCGCCGCCTCCGCCCGGAGCCTCCTTCCCGGGAAAAATCCCACTAAATCAGGGATTGCCTCGGATTTCCAGGAGCAGTCCCATTCCAGAGGTGTCCATGGGGCAATTGGATAGTCTGGAAATATTTCTTTGGGAATTTCCCAAGGGGAAACCGCACCGGTTTTATCCGTGGATGGGCTGGGAAATGTTTCCCATACCGTTGTTATCCACAGGGAAAGCGTCAAACAATCAGGATTTCATCCCCGGAAAGGGAGGGAAGCGCTCCTGCTTCCCAAGGAATCCGGGATCCCTCAGGTCTGCCTTGGAAAATAATCCAGGGAATGTTGGCATCGCCAGCTGGGAGATTCTTGGTGAAGCCAAGCACTCCCTAATTCCCCATTTCCCCTGGGATGTGGAAATCCTTTGGAATTCCAAGCCTTGCACTCAGCCCAAGTGCCTGGGAAGGTGGGATGGAGGGGCTGGAGTTTCCCTCCCAGTTTAATTCCCACCGGCTCCACTCTTTATCCGGGAGAAGGGATTCCAGGAGAGAGCCCCAGTGGGATGTTCCTGGACAGGGAAGCCCTGCCAGGGTCTCATTCCAGGAAATCCTGAGAAGTTCACTGCCGTGGGAATTCCAAGTTTCCACAGGGAGGCGGGGGGAGATGGAATTAAGGAATTGAGGAATTCCATCCTGGATCCTGGGATTTGGGGTGGGAGTCGGGAGAGCTCCACACCCCAACCTCCCGGGATCCCGCATCCTTTAGGGAAAGGTTTTGAATGTTTTGGGAATGGGATCCATGGGGAGATGCTGGGAGAAAAGCAGGATTTGGGACAGTTCAAGGGTTAAAAGCAGCCTGGAATTTTAAAGAATTCCCAGGATTTTCCCTCTGCTGTTCCTTGTTTTCCTTCCCTGCTGCTCCTGGATTTTGCAGGAGGAGCCTGGAGCTCCAGGCTTTTCCAAGATCCAGGTTTTCCTCTTGGATTTCCCTGCAGGAACACGGCACACGCTTTGTTCTTTGGGAATATTTTCCTGGATAATCCCACAGGTCTTCCATTAATTTCCTTTAATTGCCTTTGCCGAGGTCTGACTGCTGCACTTTGGGAGCTGCTGGAATTTGGGATATCACAATAAAATCTGGGATGAACGGGTTAAATACGGGATAAATCAATCCTTGGGAATGCTGAGCGGGATTTTCGGGATATTTATAAGCACTGGAATTGTTTTTCCAAAGGTTTTTTAAAATTAATATAAATCACTGATTTTATTCTGCTTAATAATAAAAATATTCCTGGGAAATCGAATTCCTTTGGAGATCATTGCTGATAATTCCAGAGTTTATTTACTTTGGGAGCTGCTGTGACCGGGGAGGAATCCAGCTGGGATTGGAGAGCCCGGAAAAACATCGGGAATCATCCCAGGATTATTCCAGGTCATTCAACTTTTGAACTGAAATCCTCCCGTCCTCTCCAGTGCCGGGAATTTTGGGAAAACTGCATTCCAAAGGGGATGGAATGCCAGAATTCCACAGAATCCTCCGGCTGAACCCATGGAATGGGCGATGCTGGATCCTGGAGCGGCACAGGGAGAGGATTTTTCCTGCTTTTTACCAAAGGTCTCTGGATTTTCCTCAATTTCCTTCCCAGGAGAAATGAAAACTCCATGTCCGGTTGTTCCAAGGAAATAAACTGGGATATTTATTTGTGGAATGTTGATCCACACCAAGTGCCAAAGGAATTGGGGATGAAATTCCAGCAAACCTCCCTCACCCCTCCTAAGCCATGAGGATTTGGAAAAGCTGGAAAAAAGCAGGATCTTCGGGCTCCTCCAGGTGATTTTATCCTTTTTTTTTTCTTTAAATATCCTCAAAGCCTTGTGGAAACATTCAGGACTTTGGACTAAAAATGGGAATTCCTGGAATTTAAAAGAAATTGAATCCCTCTCCCCAGTTCCCCATTGGAATCCATTCCCTGGGAAGGAAGTTTGCTTTTCCCTGGACTTGTTCTGCAGGATTTTTCCCACATGTCCCAGCACCACATTTCCACGGTTATTTTCCACCACGGATCATTTCCCACAGGTTGGGAATTAACTCATTTCCATCAGGTTGGGAATTAACTCGTTTCCTACAGGGTGGGAATTATTTCCAACAGGTTGGGAATTAACTCATTTCCAACAGATTGAGAATTCACTCATTTCCATTGGGTTGGGAATTAACTAGTTTTCCACACGTTGGGAATTAACCTGTTTCCACAGTTTGTGATTTATTTCCAACAGGTTGGGAATTCACTCATTTTCCAACAGATTGGGAATTCACTTGTTTCCATCAGGTTGGGAATGAACTGAGTGACTGATTCACCTCCAGGCAGGCACACAGGGAAGCTCTGGCCCTGCAAACGGTCTGCATTCCACCTGTTTTCCTGAAAGATCGGAATTTAACGGATAAAATGGGGGGGAAAAAAAACCGGGATCGGCCGGGGCCGGGATTCGAACCCGCGGCCCCTCCACCCCCGCTACCAGCAGGGGGCGCCCGCTCCCCGGGCCGCGCCCCTTTCCGCGTTGCCGTGGTGACGTGCCGTGCGTGGCGACGTCAGCGGAGCCGTGCTCGCTGATTGGACGGATTTGAATCTCACGGGCGCGCGGCCGCTGCCAGCCCCGCAGCGCGAGCCCCGGGCCCTGTCGCGACAGCGGCGCCACCCGCGACATGAAGGCGGCGTGAGTGGCTCCGCAGCCCCGGGCGGGGAGGGGAAGGGAGGGTAGGGGCGGACTGGGGGGCTCCGGGGGGCGGCGGCTCGGCTCGCGCGGGGCCGCCCTGCATGGCTGCCCTATGCTCCCTCCCGGTTCCTTCGCCGTCCCGGCGCTCCCTTTCTCCTGGTGCTTCCCCGGCCCGGTACTCCCCTGTCCCGCTTCTCCCGGCTCTCCCTTCCCCTGCCCGCCCCTCCCGTCCCCTGGGCTCTCTCCCCTCTCCCCCTCCCCTCTGCCGGTGTCCCGGTGCCGCCGTTCCCGGTTTCCCCTGTGCGGCCGTTCCCGGTTTCCCGGTGCCGCCGTTCCTGTTTCCCCGTTCCGGCCGTTCCTGTTTCCCCGTTCCGGCCGTTCCCGTTTCCCCGTTCCGGCCGTTCCCGTTTCCCCGTTCCGGCCGTTCCCGGTGTCCCGGTGCGGCCGTTCCCGGTTTCCCGGTGCGGCCGTTCGCGGTTCCCCTGACGCTCTCTCCCCTCAGTAGGGCCAGGACGCCGCGGAGGCCGAGGAAAGCCACGAACCCCACGCAGAAGGACCCGGTGGGGGTGAGTGCGGGGCTCATCCCGAGCTCCCCCATTCCCGCCCAGCCAAATTCCCGGCTTTATTCCGGAATCATTCCCGGTTTATCCCTGTTTCCCTCATTCCCACCTCTCATTCCAGCTGTACTGCCGGGTTCTTTCCCGGTTTATCCCTGTTTCCCAATCCCAGGTGTACTGCAGGGTTCATTCCCAGGTTTATTCCCGGTTTATCCCTGCTTCCCTCATTCCCACCTCTCATTCCAGCTGTATTGCCAGGTTCATTCTCAGGTTTATCCCTGTTTTCCCTCATACCAGGTTCATTCCCGGGTTTATCCCTGTTTCCCCATCCCAGGTGTACTGCACGGTTCATTCCCAGGTTCATTCCCGGTTTATCCCTGTTTCCCTCATTCTCAGATTAATTCCCGGGTTTTCCCCCCTCCCAGGTGTACTGCCCGCTTCATTGCCGGTTTTCCCCCATCCCACGGGTACTGCCCAGTTTATTCCCGGTTCATTCCCGGTTTTTCCCCCTGCCAGGTGTACTGCCCGCTTCATTCCCGATTCGTTTCCGGTTTTTTCCCCCTTCCCAGCTTTACTGCCCGGTTCATTCCCGGTTTTTTTCCCCCTTCCCAGCTTTACTGCCCGGTCCATTCCCGGTCCATTCCCGGCTTTTCCCCCCCTTCCCAGCTTTACTGCCGGGTCCATTCCCGGTTCATTCCCGGTTTTCCCCCCTTCCCAGGTGTACTGCCGGGTCCATTCCCGGTTCATTCCCGGTTTTCCCCCCTTCCCAGGTGTACTGCCGGGTCCATTCCCGGTTCATTCCCGGTTTTTCCCCCCTTTCCCAGGTGTACTGCCGGGTCCATTCCCGGTTCATTCCCGGTTTTCCCCCCTTTCCCAGGTGTACTGCCGGGTCCATTCCCGGTCCATTCCCGGTTCATTCCCGTTTTTTTCCCCCCTTTCCCAGGTGTACTGCCGGGTCCATTCCCGGTCCATTCCCGGTTCATTCCCGGTTTTTCCCCTTTCCCAGGTGTACTGCCCGGTCCATTCCGGGTCCATTCCCGGTTCATTCCCGGTTTTTCCCCCGTTCCCAGGTGTACTGCCGCGTGCGGCCGCTCAGCCGGGCGGACCAGGAATGCTGCATCGAGGTCATCAACGGCACCACGGTGCAGATCCACCCTCCCGAGGGCTACCGCGTGTTCAGGAATGGCGAGTACCGCGAGGTGACGGAATTCCCGCCTGGAATTCGCCTGGAATCCCTGCCCCCGCCCCTGGCTTAGCGGGAGGTGCCCCTGCCCTTGGCAGTGGGATTTGGCTTTAAGGTCCCTTCACCACCCAGAGTTCTGGAATTCCATGAATTCCATCCAGCTCCCGCTCTCCAAGCTTTCCCATGGCTTGTGGCACTTGCAGAGTGCAAAATCTGAAAGTTTTCCGCCCAAAAACCCATCCAGGACCAAAAAACCATCACTTCTTGATCTGTGAAATAGATGGGAAGGACCTTAAAGCTCATCCCATTCCATGGGGAGCCACCATCCCAGACTGATCCAGCCTGGCCTTGGACACTCCAGGGAAAAGGAATCCACGGCTTCTCTGGGTGGGAATCTTAGCTGGGATGTGGAATATTTTGTTTCCAATTTCAGCTGGAAAAATCCTATGGGAAGGGTATTAAAGGGTCTTCAAAGCTTTAAATAGAACAGGCAAAGGTTAAATAATGAAATGTTAATTTAATTAAATGAGGTTTTGTTCAGAAATTTGGAATTCAGCTATTTCCCTAAGGAAGAGTTTTGGTGGAAAAATGACCATCAAAAATTAAAATTTGTTTAAATTTTATTAAAATAATTCATTAAAAATCGGTTTGAAATTTAGGATTATTAAAATGCATTTTAGCGAATTAAAAATCCTTTAAAATTATTAATAAGAAATAAAACCAGCTTGACATTCAAGACTGAAAACTGAGGCTGGGCTGGAAAAAGATCCAAAATAAACAAAATCCCGTGAGGGAACAGCTCCACTTTGGCCACGGTGGATGTTCCTTTGCTTGGATTCTGGGGGGAGCTGCAAGGAAATTCCAGCTTTTGGCTGTCCTTTGGGAATTCTCTGCTCCGTGGGATCCCTCTGGCCACTCCAGGCCGTGGGCTGGAATTCCAGGGTGGTTTTCCCTCTCTTGGCAGACCCAGTATTCCTTCAAGGAGGTGTTTGGCACGCTGGTGGCACAGAAGGAGCTCTTTGACGTGGTGGCCAAGCCTCTGGTGGAGGACCTGATCCGGGGCAAGAACGGTGAGCAGGGGTCCTCTCCTGTGTCCCCATTCCCAGGATTTCAGGGCTCCCAAGGCTGGGTTGGAATTGTGGCTCAGCTCCTCACACCACACCCCTGGAAGCTCTTTCTGGAATGGGAATCCTGGGATGGTTTGGGTGGGAATGGGTGATCCGGGGTTCCTGAGGTTTGGTTGGAATCGTGGCTCAGCCCCTCACACAAAACGGGGTTTAACTTCTCTCGAGCTCTTCCCTTGAAGAAACGAAGGAAAAGTTGGGGGGGAAAAAAAAAGGCAAATATTTAATTAATTAGGTACTTGTATCCAATTGAAATTCCTAATCTGTTCCTGCTTGTTCTAACAAGAGATTTCAGCTTGGAATTCCCTTGGAAGCTCTTTCTGGATAGGAGTCCTGGGGAGGTTTGGGTGGAAATGGGTGATCCCGTGCCATGGAAGTGTTGTTGGAGCAGCCTGGCTTAGCAGGAGCTGTCCCTGCCTTTGGCAAAGGGATTGGATCCCTTCCCACCCACAGCCTTCTGGAATTCCATGAATTATGCATCCAAATCCTCTCCCTGCTCTCTCCCAAGTTTTCCCATGGTTTGTGGGAATTGCAATCAGCATTTTGGGCTTTTAGCAAAGCGCATTTTCAACTCCCAAAAGAGCAGCAAATGGCAAGAAAGCATCACTTCCTAAACCATCCAATCTATGGGAAGGACATTAAAGCTCATCCCATTCCATGGGCAGGGAAACCTTCCAGTATCCCGAGCCCCATCCAGTCTGGAACATTCCAGGGATGGCACAGCCCATGCCAGAGCTGGTTTGTGGCCCTTGGAGAGGGTGATGGATATTCCCAGCTGTGACCACTTTGGATGGTGTGCAGTATTTGAGGTAGGTTGGGGTTTTTTTTTCCCCCAATCCCGTTGATTTCTCCCTTTTCCCTGCATTCCCAGGTCTCCTGTTCACCTACGGAGTGACGGGCAGTGGGAAGACCCACACCATGACAGGATCTCCTGGGGATGGGGGGCTCCTGCCCCGCTGCCTGGCCATGATCTTCAACAGCATCGGCCCCTTCCAGGCCAAGAGATTCGTGAGTGCCTCCCCACATCCTCCCCACAGCCCCAAATCCATGGATTCCTGCTCCAAACCTGCCGTTGGAGGGATTGGGAGAGGGGAAAAAAAACCCACACCAGGGTCCTTGTTCCAAAAAGGGTTTGAATTTCTGGGAATGCTTCTAAAGCATTCAGTGGTTTGGTGCTTATTGCCCAAGCCCATCCTGGGAAAAATCTCTTAAAACCACATGGGAAGGAATCCAGCCAGGAATGTGTCAGTGTTGATGGCCAGGCGTTCCCTTCCTTGTTAGGATGGGTGATTAATGAGCATATCTTTAATTAATTAGGCAGTTGTATCCCACTGAAATTCCCAATCTATTCCTGCTGTTCTAACAGCTGATTTCAACGTGGAGGAAGCCTTTCCATGGCTTTTTTTTTTCCCCTGGAAACAGTGGACAACACTGGTTTCGTGCTCCATATTCCCATATTATTCCACTTCATTTCAGTAATTCCCATAAAAATTAATTGTCTCCTCATAAAATTAGGAATATTTTTCCAGAGGTGTGCACATGTGATGCCTAAAATATACTGAAATAATCCTGGAATTCTCATCCTTGGGAGCTTTTCTAAAACATCATTTTGCAAATTGTTTCTGTCAGATCTCGCTGGGTTGAGTGGCAGTGAGGGGCATGGTGTTAATAAATTAGTACCAGCCTAATCAGACTAATTAATGAATTGAATAATTATTTATTGGGCAGCACCTGGATGTTGGAATTGGCTGAAATTCCTGGTTTTTCCCTCAGGTTTTCAAGCTGGATGACAAGAACGGGGTGGACGTGCAGAGCGAGGTGGAGGCTCTGCTGGAACGCCAGAGGAGAGAGGCCCTGCCCACCCCAAAAACTCCAGCTGGGAAGTGAGTGGCTCTGGGAATAACAGAGGGAATTTGTGCCCTAGAAATGGGGTTCAGCTTCTCTTGGGCTCTTCCCTTTAAGAAATGAAGGAAAAATTGGCAAAAAAAATTGGCAAATATCTAATTAATGAGTTAATTGTATCCCACTGAAATTCCCAATCTATTCCCGCAGTTCTGACAGGTGATTTCAGCTTGGAGGAAGCCATTCCATGGCTTTTTTTTCCCTGAGTTTTTGGACCTTTTCCCCCTCAGAATTTTGGACCTTTTCCCCTCAGAATTTTTGACCTTTCCCTCCCCAGAATTTCAAGGAGATCTTCAAGTTGATATCATCCCATGGGCAGGGTTATTAATAATAATAATAATTAGTAAAATATTAATGGGAAATGAGTGTGTTCCATGTGGTTTGAACAGTTCTTTGGATGAGAAGACTTAGGCTCAGCCTATTTTTTGTACCTGTTAAGCCAGGATTAAAACCCCCCGGTGTTAAATGAGAATCCAGCTCTGCGAAGCCAGACCAAACCGAACTTTGGATTTTCTAACCAAATCTGGTGAAATTCAGTTTGGAGATATTTCCATAGAACCACAAAATTCCCTCAGCTGGATCATGGAATTCCAGCCGTGGAACTCCCTCAGCTGGATCACGGAATTCCAACCATGGAACTCCCTCAGCTGGATCATGGAACTTCAACCATGCTCGTTTCTCAGTTGGATCGTGGAATTCCTCCAGCTGTATCATGGAATTCCAATCACAGAATTCCCTCAGATGGATCATGGAATTCCAACAATGGGCGTTTCTCAGTTGGATCATGGAATTCCAGCCATGGAATTCCCCCAGCTGGATCGTGGAATTTCCACCATGGAATTCCCTCAGTTGATTCATGGAATTCCCTCAGCTGGATCGTGGAATTTCCACCATGGATTTCCCTCAGCTGGATCATGGATTTCCCCCAGTTGGATCGTGGAATTCCAGCCATGGAATTCCCCCAGTTGGATCATGGAATTCCCTCAGCTGGATCGTGGAATTCCCCCAGTTGGATCATGGAATTCCCCCAGTTGGATCATGGAATCCCCCAGTTGGATCATGGAATTCCAGCCATGGAATTCCCTCAGTTGGATCATGGAATTCCCTCAGTTGGATCATGGAATTCCAGTCATGGAATTCCCTCAGTTGGTTCATGGAATTCCAGCCATGGAATTCCCTCAGTTGGATCATGGATTTCCAGCCATGGAATTCCCTCAGTTGGATCATGGATTTCCCTCAGTTGGATCATGGAGTTCCGGCTCCTGGCCCTGCCCAGGACCCCTCAGGAACGTGAATTTTCCTGGATATTATATCCCTGAATATCCCTGCCTTTCCTTGCGTTTCCCAGCCCCGCAGCTCCGCTCTGAGCCATCCCGGCTGCTGGGAACGCCATCCCAAATCCCCGTTTCCCGCAGGAGACAGCTGGATCCCGAGTTTGCCGACATGATCGACGCGCAGGATCACTGCCGGGCGGGGGACGTGGACGAGGACAACGTCTACGGCGTCTTCGTGTCCTACATCGAGATCTACAACAACTACATCTACGACCTGCTGGAGGAGGCCCCCTGCGACCCCATCAAACCCAAGTGAGTTGGGAAAGCCGGGATTGGCCCAGGCTGGGCTTGGGAATCAGCGCCAGGCCGCTGGGAAGGGGTTTGGGATGAGAGCAGTGGGATGAGAGCAGGGTCTTTGTGTCCTGTTCCGACGTCCACTGTCTGCTTGGAGCCCACCAAGCCCAAGGGAGTTTGGGAATTCCCGTATTCCCAGTCCTGGGAGGATTTTGTAGGATCTCCACCTTGGGGTTTTTGGTTCTGACCTTTGGGAGCTTGGCTCAGAGTTCCTGGGAATCACTGGGAATCGCTGTTAAACACACGTTCCAGCTGGGAATGTTTCAGTACTGATGGCCAAGGTGCTCCCTCCCTCCTTGGCCTGGGTGATTAGTAAGCAAATATTTAATTAATTAGGGAATTGTATCCCACTTAAATTCCCAGTGTATTCTAACAGGTGATTTCAACTTGGAACAAGCCATTCCATAGATTTTTGCCCTGGAAACAGTGGAAAACACTGGTTTGGTGCTCCATATTTCCCTATTATTCCACTTTGACATCAGTAATTCCCATAAACCCAGAAATTAGGGATATTTTTTAGGGATATTTTTTCCAAAGGTGTGCATTTGTGATGTCTAAAATCAGTAGGAGAAGTCTGCAAATTCCACTTGGAATCTATGGATTGAAACCCCATTAAAGGAGTCCCTCAGTCCTGTGTTAATTAAGGAGTGGTTGATTAACAAAGACTAATGAGGGGAAAGCAAACTGGGAGCTGTCTCCAGGGTCCTCATTCCAGAAGGTTTTGAATCTCTGGGAATGCTTTTAAACCGTTCAGTGTTTAAACACTGAACAGTTTTAAAGCATTTTAAAATAAAATTTTTAAACATTAAAATTTTAATTAAAAATTTTAAACATTAGAATAAATTAAAAAAAAATTAAAAGGTGTTTATTCCTGAAGCTCATCCTAAAAAAAAAAAAATCTGGGATTATTTCTCCCTCTGGAAACTGCAGTGTGGAAAGATTTGAGGCAGAAATCAAGGATTTAATGTTTTTCCCCGTTTTTTTGGTAGGTGGAACAATTGCAACACTCCTGTGAGAAATGGAGACTTTGTGTATGTGTCCAATGTCTTATTCCCATTATTCCAGTGCTGTTTTCCTTGAGTAGAAGCAGAAAATTCCCTGCCTTTCCTTGCTTTCCTAGGAAACCTAGGATGCTCTCCTTGCTTCTGTGCGCTTGTAGAAAAGCAATAGCTGCCACCAAAGCAATTAATTGCAATTAAATAGCTGCTAATTAGAGGAGTAGCTGGAGTGTCACTAATCCTGGCTGTGTGTCCATGTCCTGTATTCCCTCTTCCATCTTCTAGATGGATAATTGAACTTTTCCCTCCAAATTTTTGTTGTTTTCCCCTCAGAATTTTTACCTTTTCCCCCTGGATTTTGACCTTTTCCTCTCAGACTTGTCACATTTTCCCTCCAAATTCTGAATTTTTTCCCTCTGAATTCTGTCCATTTTCCCTTGGAATTTTTGACCTTTTCCCCCTGAATTTTGACCATTTTCCCCTCAGAATTTTTGGACTTCTTCCCCCCAGCATTTTTGACCTTTTCCCCTCAGAATTTTTGACCCTTTCCCTGCAGACCTGTGACATTTTCCCTCCAAACTCTGAATTTTTCCCCTCCAATTTTTGACCTTTTCCTGCTGAATTTTGCCCTCCGAGAGAATCTGCATGGCAAGAAGCTGCACAGGGAACTCCCCTCCAGTGGGATTTATTTGGATTTTTTCCCTCTTTCCCACTATCCCAAAGACCTCCCCAGTCCAAAATCCTTCGGGAAGACCAGAACCACAACATGTACGTGACGGGCTGCACCGAAGTGGAGGTCAAATCCACAGAGGAAGCTTTTGAAGTCTTTTGGAGAGGTAAAAATCTTGGAATTCAGGGCTGACCGCACACCCCAGCACCTTAAACATCATCCGTGAGCAGGGAAATTCCGCTGGATCAGCCCCATCCTTGGGATGGAGCATCCACAGCTTCTCTGGGCATTTAGGGCCTCCCCCATTCCCAGCCCTTCCCAATATCCCACAGCTGGGAAACCCCTCACACCCTGATGCTGGAGGGAAAGCAGCAGGATTTTTGGGAATGTGGGGTGTCTGAGCAGGGCAGAAGAAGCGGCGCATCGCCAACACGCAGCTGAACCGGGAATCCAGCCGCTCCCACTCGGTGTTCATCATCAAACTGGCACAGGCTCCTCTGGATGCTGATGGGGACAACGTGCTCCAGGTGAGTTCTGCGTCATTCCGGGAGAATTTTATGGAATCTACCTTGGAAGCAGCTCCCGTGCCTCAAGTTTGGAGCTGACAGAGTTAATCATAAAGTTTGGCGTTAAAACAGAGGGTGAAGTTGCTGATTCCTTTGGTTTTCACCTTTTCCTTTGTTTGGGAATCTATGATTTGGGGAATTGGAATGATCCAACAGCTGTCAATCCATGGCCCAAGGCAGAAGGGATCTGCCAAACTTCTCAAAAAATGCTGGGCTGTACCAACCCCTGTGGGCTCGTATCCAACACATCCTTTGGAAGTGGGTTTTGGGATGAGGTGTCCCCCAGCCCTTTAGGGGGAATCTGGAGGGATCCAGGATTTCCTCTGTGTCCCAGGAAAAGGAGCAGATCACCCTGAGCCAGCTGTCCCTGGTGGATCTGGCGGGAAGTGAGAGAACCAACAGGACCAAAGCTGAGGGGAACAGACTGCGGGAAGCAGGTAGGAACCCCCCGGAGCACCCTGCTAATTAACCCTGCTAATTGAAATCCTGCTAATCCTGTCTCCTAGGCAGGAATCCCAGGAATTCTTGAAGTGCTCTGTTAGGATGACCTCAAATCTTCCCACAAATTTGTGGCAGCACTTCTGCCACTTCAGTTAATTAGAGCAATTATTAACAAATATTGTTAATTAGGCAATTTATTCTTCTGACTAATGTGGGAATGTGATCCAAGGGCTGCTCATGGAGTTATTTTGCCTTGTGTTTGCTGCTTTTAGGGAATATCAACCAGTCCTTGATGACATTGAGGACGTGCATTGAGGTTCTGCGGGAAAACCAATTGTATGGAACAAACAAGGTGGGCAGCCCTTCCCTGGTTATCCTTGGATTTCATCACCTGGATAAGGAAAACTCACAAGATTTTTTTCCCCTGGCCTTTATTCCCAGATGGTTCCATACAGAGATTCCAAACTGACTCATCTCTTCAAGAACTATTTTGATGGAGAAGGGAAAGTTCGGATGATTGTGTGTGTGAATCCCAAGGCAGAGGACTACGAGGAAAGCCTGGTAAATTGCCTTTTTCCAGTCCCTCCTGCTCTTTTTCTCCTGGATTCTTGTACTCCAAGAGACGTAAAGAATTATAATTGATTTTTGAACCCTTCAGTTACAATTCTGGGGGATAAATCTGCTCCCCAAGTCTTGTTTTTGCTGTTCACATTACACACTTGCTTGGAAAGTGGGAAAGGTTTTCCTTCCTCACAGAATTCCATGGAGCCATGTTTGGGTGCTTAATCCCTCCTATTCCAAGAATTCCAGCTGTCTCTGCCCAAGCTTTTGTGGCACCTTGTGGGGAGGTTTCTGGATGATCCCAAACCGTGGTGGCTGGGAACTCCTTGCGCTTTCAGCTGGACAATCCCTCCTTTCCCGCTTCAGCGACCCAGCCCCGCTCCCAGTTTCCCAGCTCCAGGTGCTCCTGGTGTTTTTTCCCCGTTGTCTTGCAGCAAGTGATGCGTTTTGCAGAGATGACCCAGGAGGTGGAGGTGGCCAGGCCCCTGGACAGGCCCCTGTGCGGGCTGACGCCGGGGCGGCGCCTCCGGAACCAGGCATTCCGGGAGGAGCTGTCCCGCAAGCTGGAGCTCAGGGGCGGCCCCGTGGGAGCAGGTGAGGGCTGCAGTGGGGGATTCTGCTCTGGGAATGTCCACCTGGGAAAAGGGAAAGAGTCAGGGGAAATTTAGAGAGCCTTCCAGAGCCTTAAGGGAGGCTCCAGGAGGGCTGGAGAGGGGTTGGGATACAGGATGGGAGGGGCAGCACACAGGGAATGGCTTCAAATTGGAAAATGGGAAATTTGGGTGGGATACTGGGAAGGAATTCCAGGCTGGGAGGGTGGGGAGGGGCTGGGCTGGAATTCCCAGAGTATCTGTGGCTGCCCCGGATCCCTGGAAGCATCCAAGGCCAAATTGGAATGTGGGACAGTGGGAGGTGACCCTGCTCATGGAACGGGATCACTTTAAGTTCCTTTCCAACCCAAACCATTCCATGATTCCAGCAGAGTTTTCTGTTAGGAATTAAAGGCTGGGAATTAATTTTTAAACCAATTCCACTGAGCCTTAACTATCAGGCTGAACCTCAGTGCCCTTGGAGCTGCTGCTCTTCCCTCTGCAGTGTCCCTGTGGAGATTTCCAAGGAATTGCACGGGATTGGGATGAATCCATGGTCCCAGTATTGCAGCTTCTGACAGGAAATTGTGCCAAGGAAATTGTGGGATGTTCCTGGATGTTCAGGACCTGCTTTTTGTAAAACAAGGAATTGAGGCTGTCACATTTAGTCCTTTCCCATCCATCACCTCTTTGGAAACCCATAGCTCCCATCAATCATTCCCAGTTTTCCACGATCCTGCCCCTTGTCCGTTGGAATTTTCCCATCCTGCTGACGGATTTTCCATCCTGCAGGACCAGAGGAGCCATCTCCTGCTGAGCTCTTCTTCCAGAGCTTCCCTCCCCTGCCTTCCTGCGAGCTCTTGGACATCAACGACGACCAAACACTCCCAAAACTGATCGAGGCCCTGGAGCAGCGCCACAAAATGAGGCAGATGCTGGCAGAGGAATTTGCCAAAAACGGTAGGAATTTGCCCCAAATTGGAACATCAGGGCAAAAAACTCAGATTTGGCGCCCTTATTATTCCTCAAAGGATCTCCCTTGCCTCAATTTTCCTGTTTAGATTGACTGTTTCAACCTTTTTTTGAGGAATTTTAAGCTTTAAATTTGTTGGGAAAAACAGAGGTTTGGATGTTTTTGGGATAAGAGGGAAGATTAAAGATAAAATGGAAAATATCTGAATTCTCTTCCAGTTCTTGCCTTTAAAACAATGCTGCAAGAATTTGACTCCAGTGTTGCATCCAAGGAAAATTACATCCAAGGAAAACTGGCTGAGAAGGAGAAAACCATAACAGGGCAGAAGACAGAGCTGGAACGGCTGGAGAAGAAGATTAAAACCTTGGAGTACAAGGTCAGTTGGGCCATTTTGGAGCACAGATCCCATTTTTTTTAATGGATTATTGGCAAATTCCTTGCGATCGGGAATAAATATTTTGGAGGAACTTCTACTGAAAATTTGTTGGCATTTTTACAAGGTGAGGCTTTTAAAGCAGCAAAATCAGCGACTTGGAAGTGAAAATTGATATTTTCTGGGAAATTCTGGGATTAGAAGGTTGTGTTCCCACCCAAATCCTTCCTCTCTTCCTGCAGATTGAGATTTTGGAGAAGACAGCCACGATTTACGAGGAGGACAAGAGGAACCTGCAGCAGGAGCTGGAGAGCAAGAGCCAGAAGCTGCAGCGGCAGGCGTCGGACAAGAGGAGGCTGGAGGCCAGGCTGCAGGGAATGGTGGCTGAGACCTCCCTCAAGTGGGAGAAGGAATGTGTGAGTGCGGGAATGGGGGAAAAGTGGGATCAGGTTATCGGGAATTTGGGGATTTGGGGTGTGGGAATTGAGGGGAAGGGAAAGGAAAGGGATTGAGGGGAAGGGAAAGAAGGAAAGGAATTGAGGGGGAAGGGAAAGGAAAGGAAAGGGATTGAGGGGAAGGGAAAGGAAAGGAATTGAGGGGAAGGGAAAGAAGGAAAGGGATTGAGGGGAAGGGAAAGAAGGAAAGGGATTGAGGGGAAGGGAAAGGAAAGGAATTGAGGGGGAAGGGAAAGAAGGAAAGGAATTGAGGGGGAAGGGAAAGGAAAGGAAAGGGATTGAGGGGAAGGGAAAGGAAAGGAATTGAGGGGAAGGGAAAGAAGGAAAGGAATTGAGGGGAAGGGAAAGAAGGAAAGGAATTGAGGGGAAGGGAAAGGAGGAAAGGAACTGAGGGGGAAGGGAAAGAAGGAAAGGAATTGAGGGGGAAGGGAAAGGAGGAAAGGAACTGAGGGGGAAGGGAAAGGAGGAAAGGAACTGAGGGGGAAGGGAAAGGAGGAAAGGAACTGAGGGGGAAGGGAAAGGAGGAAAGAAAAGCAGTGGTGGGGGGGTCTGGTTCTGCTCCCAGGGAACAAGGACAGGAGGAGAGGAAGCAGCCTCAGGCTGTTCCAGGGCAGGCTCAGGTTGGATACTGGGAAAATTCCCTCATGGAAAGGGTTCTAAACATTGGAACTGCCCAGGGAGGTTTGGAATTCCCATCCCTGCAGGTATCCAAGGAACTCCTGGACGTGGCACTCGGGGCTCCACGCTGGGTTCAGTCCCGGCTTGGCCTCGCTGATCCCGGAGGGCATTCCAGCCTCAGCAATTCCATGTTTCCCACTGCTTTCCCTGTGCCTGCAGGAGCGGCGGGTGGCAGCCAAGCAGCTGGAGATGCAGAACAAGCTGTGGGTGAAGGATGAGAAGCTGAAGCAGCTCAAGGCCATCGTCACCGAGCCCAGAGCCGAGCGGCCGGAGAGGCCATCCCGGGAAAGGGAGCGGGAAAAGCCTCTCCCGAGATCTGTGTCTCCTTCTCCTGCTCCCGTGAGTCACTCCCAGACCTGCTGGATTTAGGAAACAGCACGTTTAGGGATGAAGTGCAGGGATTTTGGACATTAGTAGCCCCAAAGCGCAGAGTTGGAGCAGATTGCTTTGAGTTCCTTGTCTGCTGTTTGTTCTTCATCCGTTCTCCCACCTCCTGATATCCTTAGGAATGGGAAATCTCTGGATTTTTCTGTCCCTGTGTGCTTGGAGTCTCCTGTGTCTCACTGCTCTCTCCGTTCTTCCCAGAGCTGAGTTTGAGCCCAGAGTTGGAGCAGCTTGAATTCCTTTTCTTCTGTTTGTTCTTCATCCGTTCTCCCACCTCCTGATATCCATAGGAACGGGAAATCCCTGGATCCGTCTCTCCCTGTGTCTCACTGATGTTTCCCTTCTTCCCAGAGCTGTGCTGTCCCTGCTGAAGTTTGATCCCCGAGCTGGAGCACCTTTTGAATTCCTTGTCTTGTCTCTGTTCATTGTTTATCCATTCTCCCACCTCCTGATATCCACAGGAACAGGAAATCCCTGGACCTGTCTGTCCCTGCTTGGTGTCCCTGTTTGACTGCACGGCGCCTCCTGTGTGTCACTGATGTTCCCCTTCTCTCCGGAGCTGTGATGTCCCTGCTGAAGTCTGAGCCCTGAGTTGAAGCAGCTTGACTTCCCTGTGTCCTGTTTGTTCTTCATCCGTTCTCCCACCTCCTGCTACCCACAGGAACGGGGAATCCCTGGATTTGTCTGCCTGTCCCTGTTTGCTTGGAGCCTGCTGTGTCTCACCGCTCTCTCCCTTCTCCCCAGAGCTGTGGTGACCCCGCTGAGCTCGGGGACACCCGGGTGGCCCCGCGGCTGCCCCGGCGCTCCAACTCCTGCAGCAGCATCTCTGTGGCCTCCTGTGTGCTGGAGTGGGAGCAGAGGGGCCCTTCCTGCGAGCCAGCCAGCATTCCCAAGCCCAGGAATAAAGCTGGAGCAGAGCCGGGCTCGGCCTGGCCCAGCCCTGCCAGGAGGAGAGGGATGTGCTGGAGCCGAGTGCTGGAGGTGCCCAGGGATAGAGAGGAGCTAGAGCAGGAAGAGGATCCGTGCTGCAGGGTTAGTCCTGGCCTAGTGGGGCTCAGCCCGGCTTAAAGGTTCTCTGAGCCTGAGCCTGGCCTAAAGGTTCTTTGTCCTCGAGCCTAACATAGAGTAGAGCTGTCCCTGATGTGTCCTGCTGGTCCCAGACTGAGCCTGGCTGCTCTCGCTGCCCTCTTGGTGTTTGGAGCTTCCTTGGAAATTGAGAATTCCCACTTTTAGGGAGCTCTGAGGTGGCCACACTCTGCTCTAGCCATGGGTGTCCTCATGTTTTTCCCTGGTGTTTCCCTTTCCCTTTTCCTGGCATTTCCCTTTTCCTTTCCATCTCCCTCGTGTCTCCTCCAATCCCTCCTGCAATTTCCCATCTTCCAAGGTGCTTCTGGGAGCTTTTCCTGCCTGGAAACATTCCTTGGATAAACCTCTTGTGTGCTTCAGCTTTAATTCCCTAATTCCCATTAACTGGGAGCTCTGATTCTATAAATTATTTGGCTCCTTGAGGATTCAGTCCCAAGAGCACTTTAAGAAAACAGAGGGGGACAATCTCTTCCTTTGTCCCCTCCTTCCTAGGTGTGGAATGCAACAGATTGGACCAAAATTCCCAAGAAATAGGACTTGACATGGAATGTTCCATTCATAATTTGATCCCCAAAAAACAGGAGATAGCCTGGAATATTCCATGGGATAACTTGATGCCCAAAAAATAGGAATTGGCTAGGAAGATTCCCCTGATAATTCGATGCCAAGCTCTTGGTAGTGCCCTCAGGATCCAACCGAAGAACCAAACCTTTGCCATTCCCACACGCATCTCATCCAATCCCATCCATTCCCAGTCCCCATTCCCTTTTCCCATTCCCAGAGCGCTCCAGTGGCGCTGCTGCGGCCGTGGCGCTCCCGCAGTCCCGGGGAGCGCCGGGTGGATCCCTGTGCCCATTCCCCGTTCCCATTCCCCGTTCCCATTCCCCGTTCCCATTCCCCGTTCCCATTCCCCGTTCCCATTCCCCGTTCCCATTCCCCGTTCCCATTCCCCGTTCTCATTCCCACTCTCCATCATTCCCAGAGCGCTCCGGTGGTGCCGCTGCGGCCGCGGCGTTCCCGCAGTGCCGGGGAGCGCTGGGTGGATCCCTGTGCCCATTCCCCATGCCCATTCCCCGTTCCCATTCCCCGTTCCCATTCCCCATTCTCATTCCCACTCTCCATGGTTCCCAGAGCGCTCCGGTGGCGCCGCTGCGGCCGCGGCGTTCCCGCAGTGCCGGCGAGCGCTGGGTGGATCACCGGCCGCCGTCCCACGTGCCCACGGAGACGCTGCTGCAGCCGCGCGTGCCCAGGGCCATCACCGTGGACGCCCCCAGCGAGCGCGCCCTGGCCCGGTGCGACCGATACCTGCTGACCCACCAGGAGCTCGCCTCCGACGGGGAGATCCAGACCAAGCTCATCAAGGTGACCTCGGGAGTCTTGGGAATGTCGGGAATGTCACGGTGGAGTTGTTGAAATTTTGTTAAAATTACCCAAGGAGTTCCTGGGTGTGGCGCTCGGTGCTCCGGGCTGTGGGCAAGGTTGAGATCCAGACAGGGCTCATCAAGGTGCCCTTGGGAATCTTGGGAATGTTATTGGAATTGTTGGAATTTCTTTAAAGTTACCCCAAGGAATTCCTGGATGTGGCGCTCTGGGCAAGGCTGAGATCCAGACCGAGCTCATCAAAGTGACCTTGGGAATGCTGGGAATGTTGCATTGGAATCACTGAAATTTTGTTGAAATTACCCAAGGAATTCCTGGATGTGGCACTCAGTGCTCTGGGCTGTGGGCAAGGTTGCGATCCAGACCAAACTCATCAAAGTGGAAATTGTGGGAATGTTGCTTTGGAATCGCCAAAATTTAGCTTGGTGTTTTCACAGTTGGGTTCCACAATTTGTGGGATCCCATGATTCATGGATCCCGTGATTTGTGGATCCCATGGTCCACGAATCCCATTATTTGTGGGATTCCATGATTTGTGGATCCTGTGATTTATGGGATTCCATTATTTTTGGGATCCCATGGTTTATGCGTTTTCCTGCGGAAAAAGGCAGCAATCCATTGACAGTGAAATGGGAGGGGCTTATTTTTGCCCGTATCTCTTTGGGCTGGAATTCTGGGATGAATCCCAGTGTTGTTCCTGTCCCAATCCCGCTTTTCCTTGTCCTTTTCCCATTCCAGGGGGACGTGTTCAAGACCAGGGGTGGTGGCCAGGCCGTGCAGTTCACGGACATCGAGACCCTCAAGCAGGAATCTCCCACTGGGTGAGTCCGGTCTCTGGAATCCTGGAATTCCCAAAATTCCAGTCATGGAACCTTTCATTTGAGCTTCTGGAGTCCTGGAATTCCCAAGGTTCCAATAATGGAAACCTTTCGTTTGAGCTTCTGGAATTGTGGAATTCCAGGTGTGTGCATGGAACTTCTTCCAGGCCAGATGATCCAATGGGAAAATCCAACTTGAAATTCCATAAACTTGGAGAAATTCATGGATGCTGGTGCTGCTGGACCCAAGATTTATTGAGGAAGAATAAAGGGGTTTTTCAGTGTTGGAATGTGGCAAATTCCGTGAGGTTTGTGCTGTAATTCCACAAATTCCCGTTCCAGGCGGAAGCGCCGCTCGTCACCTCCCAATCCCGACCCCGCCGGGGACGCTGCGGACTCGGAATGGACGGATGTGGAAACCAGGGTGAGCTGGGAATGTCACCCTGGGAATGTCGCCCTGGGTCCTGGAATTCTGGCCTGGGTCAGGTTGGGAGGGAACTTCAGCTCATCCCAATCCAGCCATTCCATGGGCACTTCCCGCTATCCCTGGCTTCTCCATCCAGCCCGGCCTTGGACGTTCCTGGGCTGGGGATCCAAACCCCTTTGGATGAGGATTTGGGAATGCTGGGAGCTGGGAATGGTGGGAAGCAGCAGATCCTGACTGTGGTGTGTTCCCAGTGTTCCGTGGCCGTGGAGATGAGGGCGGGATCGGCGCTGGGACCGGGATTCCAGCACCACGCCCAGCCCAAGTGAGTGCTCCTGGAATTCTTTCCCGACAGCTCCCAAACTTCGGGAATGCTTTCCCCCTGGAAAACCCCCTGGTTTTGCTGCCCTTCCCACATCAGGTTTGCATTCCCAAGTGGAATATCAGGAATGGCAGTGGGAATGCCCTGGATTCCCTCTTCTGCCCCTTTAGCCTCTTGCTCACATTATCCATTGTGAGATTCCAATTTCTCGGGATTGGGAAATTCCGGTTTCTCAGGATTGGGAAGTTCCAGTTTCTGAGGACTCCAATTCCCTGTGGGACAAGGGAATTGCAGTGGAATTCCTGCTAAAATTCCAACTGCATAATACCACTAAGGAAGCCTGGAGAATTCCCTCTTTCCCAAATTATTCATAAGGCATCCCTGGTTATTCCAGCTCTATACCCAGCCCAAGGAAGTGCTCCTGGAATTCTTTCCTGACAGCTTCCAAAATTCAGGAATGTTTTCCCCCCAACCTTGCTGCCCTTCCCACTCTGGGTTTTCATTCCTGGCTGGAATAGGGTCAGGAATGGCTGCAGGAATGCCCTGGATTCCCTCTCCTGCCCCTTTAACCTCTTGCTCATGTTATCCATTGGGAAATTCCAATTCCCCATGGGAAGAGGGAATTGAAGAATTGGAATCCAACTTTGTTTGCTCCTTCTGCTGCCTAAAAATCCAAGGAAAACACCGGATTTTTTGGAGTTTCCTTGGATTAAATGTTGGATTTTTTTAGGAGGCGGGTGGTAGTGCAAAAACCTGGGAACGAGGAGTTGGCTGCTTCCAGAATTCCTCTGGATGAATCCTGAAAGTTCTCTGTGGCTCTTTCCCACTGCAGGCGCAGGAAGCCCTGAACTTTTCCTGCTGGAGTCCCGGATTTTCCCAGCCTGAGGAATGCTCTGCTGCCACTGCTCCTCAGGAACCGCTTTGTGCTCATTCCCAGAGGTTTTTAGGGAAGCTGGGAAATGGCCCCGTTGGTGATCCCAAAGAACTTCTGGATGGATCTGTCCTTTCCCATAGATTTAGGGGAATCCGAAAGGCCCCTCTAGAATTTCGAACGGGGCTGGATCGTTACGGACAGTGCCAGCAGGCTTTTCCCTGGGACACTTTTCCAGCGTTTTCCCAGTTTTTTAATCCCAAATCCATCTTTTCTGGTCATTCCCTCTCTTTTGGGAGACCCAACTGCTGCTATTCTGAGCTGCAGTCCAGCACTTTAAGGGTGTTTTTGGCCATTCCCGATTTTACTGGAAGCAGGAAAACCTTGGGAATTCAGATTTCTTCTGGCAAGAATGGATTTAGAGTATTTAAGTGTGTCAGAACATTCCAGAGTCACCCAAAATCCTGGGAGCATGGGAATTCACATCCCAGCTGCTTTGGGGCGTGAGGGAATTCTGGAATGTTTTCCATGTGGGAATGGGGGGGGAAAAGGGGATTTCCTCACAGATAGGGTGGGAATTGGCTCACTTTGTGTCCCTGCAAGTTGTTCAATAAATACTTTTATTCCCAAACCTCTTCCTGGTTTTTAGGGAAATCCAAGGGGAGCATCTTCCCTGGCTTTGCAGAAAGCTGGGATCAGAGGTGTTTTTTGGGATGGTAAATCCTGGGATCTGCTTGGATCCTGAGATGGGGTTGGGACAATTTTACCCTCAGGTCTGCAAAGGAAATTCGGGGCCATTTGGGGCCATTTTGAGAGATTGCCTCGATCCAAGGGTTCCAGCCCAGGGAGAAGCTTTTCTTCCCGAGGTTTGGAATCCTCAAATCTCAGAATGGCTTGGATTGGGATTGGAAGGGATTTTAAAGCTCATCCCAAGGGCAGGGACACTTCCCACTATCCCAAGTGGCCTTGGATGTTTCAGGGATCCAGGGGGAGCCTGGAAATTCCCTTCTCTGGGAATTCCATCCCAGCTGGGAATTCCCAATTCCCAATGTCCCACCCATCCCTGCCCTCTGGCACTGGGAGCCATTCCCTGTGTCCTGTCCCTGGATCCTTCCCTTCTCCAGGGGAACATTCCCAGCTCTCCCAGCAGAGCAAAGCAGCTCCGGGATCTCCTCTGGAATTTCTCCAGGAGCTCCAGGCCCTTCCCCTGCTGGGATTCCAGAGCTCAGGAGGGACAAAGGGAGAGCTTTTCCAGCCCCTCCGGAATTCCATGAGCTCCAGAGGCAGCTCCCGGCTGGATCCGTGGGAAGCAGCTCTCCCGGAGCGCCGCTAGATGGGGCAGGAAAACCACGGGAATGGCGCCGCTTCCCGAGCCCTGGGAGAGGGAATGGCTCCTGGGAATATCCCTGGGATAGGGATAACCGTTGGGAATTGGTGCTGCTTCCTGAGCCTTTCCCAGCCAGAATCAGGCTCTGCCCTGGGACAAGGAATGACCCTTTGGAAAATCCCAGCCTGGGCAGCTTCCCTGCTCCCAGACTTCTGCCTGCCCTCCTGGAAGGATTGGGATTGGGATAGGGATGACCACTGAGGAATGATGGAAAACTCAGGGAAAGGCTCTTATTTGTGGGATTTAATGAGTTCATTAATCGTTAATTAGGAGCCATCTCCTGGATTTGGATTCCATTATCCCAGTGACAAGTTAAATCCCATTGGGAATATTCCTATGGGAAACTGGGATACACGAGGAACTGATGCTCATGGAGACGGTTTGGATACAGGAAAAGGTTGAAAACACTGGGAATTCTGAATCAGCTCCATTGGATTTGATAATTTTATTTTTGTAATTTTATTTTACTTTTATTTTTTGTTTTTATTCTTATTTTTAATTCAATTTAATTTTCTTTTATTTTTAAATTTTTCTTCTTAATTTAATTTTAATTTTATGTCTATTTTTATTTTTATTTTTATTCATATTTTTATTAATTTTATTTTTATTTTTAAATTTTTCTTCTTATTTTAATTATTTTAATTTTAATTCTGATTTTTATTTCTATTTTTACTTTTGTTTATTTTATTTTCCTCCAAAGCCTTGGCAAAGGGCAGAGGTTGGAGGGGGAATGTTGGATTTGCAGCTCCAAGATCTCCAGGTTTTCCCAGTCAGATCCTGGTCCCAATCCCTTTAATTCCAGGGAAATATCCCTTTATCCCAACCATCTTTATCAGGACAAAGTGGGCAGCAAAATCCAAACGTTTATCCCAAAAAATCCATCCCTGGAGTGCTGGAATTGCAAGGAGCGCTTTTTCCATGAGGTGTCACTGTGGCACCGGGATTCCCATCCCTGTTTTCCAGCAAACCATGGAAAAGCCTCCTTGGATCAGCAGCAGATTCCAGCTCGTTCCCAGCTCACAGCATTCCATGGATGGAGCAAGGGTTTGATCCCATTCCATGGGATGGGATCATTCCGGAGTCAATCCCGCCCTGGCTCTTCCCACCTCCGTGTCCCAAACTTCCACCCAGCCACATCCCAACATTCCAGCTGGGAATGCTCTTTCCCTCATCCTGGAAAAAACAAGCAGGGAAAAGGAGTTCCCTGGAAAGGGGCCTGGGACAAGGGATGGAGGGACAGGACACAGGGAATGGAAAAGGGGATTCAGATGGGATACTGGGAAGGGATTGTCCCCTGGGAGGGGCTGGGGTGGAATTCCCAGAGAAGCTGCGGCTGCCTCTGGATCCCTGGAATGTTCCAGGCCAGGCTGGATGGGGGTTGGAGCACCCTGGGATAGTGGGAGGTTCCCTGCCTATGGAATGGGATGGGATTTAATCCCTTCCCACCCACAGCATTCCATGGCATTCCCATCCATGGATTTGTCCCCAGTGTCCTTAAAATGCCTTTAAGCGTCCCAGAGCCGCTGGGAATGATTTTCACATTCCAGCCAAGTTGCCCTTGGCCGGAATTCCACTCTTTTCCTAAAATCCCATCCTGAGCCTTCATTCCCGGTAGGATTTCTTTAAAATCCCACCCCGAGCCTTCATTCCCAGTAGGATTTCTCCTTGGTGCCAATAAATGTCCCCATCCCGGCTTTTCCCGCATTCCCTGAACTCTCGGGAAGCAGCAGATTGTTCCGGGGAGTTGGGAGATGGGAGCTGGGAGCTCCTGCCGGAGCCATCCCGGTGTGAATTCCCAGAAATAATTCTAATGGGAAGCGACGCTGTCGGCTCCCATCCGTCAGCCCTGGCAGAGCCAATTGGCTCCGTCCCTTGGAATCATGGAAAGGACAGAGAAAATGGGAATATCCTCAGCTGTTGGGAGCTGCCAAGGGGCTGCTCCATGGGAAGGGAGCACCGGGATGCGGCCGGAGCCGGGAAACTCCTGGTGCCACTGGCAGCTCTGAGGGCTCATTGGAATTCCAAGTTTTCCACCTGGGATTCCTTCCTGCTCCTTGTTTTCCCAGCCTCTTCCATCGGGTTTTCCAGGCCTTTGCACTCTGCAATCCCAATTTTAACTCCTACACTTTTGGCTCCTGGGTTTTGCTCCTAAGTTTTGTTCGTAAACCTTGGGCTTGGAATTTTTCCTCCCAGACCTTGGGGCTCTGAATTTTTGCTCCTTTTATTCCTAAACTTTTGGCTCCTATATTTTGTTCCTAAATCCGGGATCCTAATCTTTTATCCTAAACCCTGGGCTGGTAGTTTTTCTTCCTAATCCTTGAACTTTCTCATTTTCCATCCTAAATCCGGGATCCTGGTTTTTGTTCCCAAATCCCGGGCTCCTTATTTTTACTCCTAAACCTTCAATCCCATCCAATTCCACCCCTGCCATGGGCAGGGACGCCTTCCCCTATCCCAGGTTGTTTCAATTCCCATCCAACCTGACTTTGGACACTTCCAAGGATTCATCCACAGCTTCTCTGGGAAGCCTGTCCTGATTTTTCCAAGGTTTCCCTCCAATGGATATCCTGGGTGAGGATCCTCCTGCCTGGCCATGACCCCTGAGCATCCCCATCCCTCTCCAGCTCTGCTTCCCTGGGATCCGATTAATCCATGGAATATTTCATGGATTGCTCATCCCTGCCCTAGCAGTGTTTTCCTAACCCTTCCCATTAATCCAGCTGCTTCTTTTCCATGCTGGAAAAAACCTCCCCTTCCTCTGTGCTCCAACAGACAGAGCAGCTTATCTGGAAAAGCAGGAAAATTTTCCCTAATCCCTCTTGGATCCCGGGATATCAGCAGGTAACGGGTTCAGTATGGAACGAGGGCCCCGGCCCGGGGTCACGGGCGGAGCAATAAACAAAGCCTGGGTTGAATTACTCCTGGGAAATTCCTTGATCCACACCTGATTAAAGCCTCATCCCGTGAAACCAGACGGTTCCCTTGGATCTGGATCCAGATCAGACGGAGCTGGAGCCCTGCCCACCCCACACAGCTCGTAAATTCCTTGGGATATGCCGCAGCTTTGGAGACTTTTCCCTCCTCTCCTTCCTCTGCTCCCTCTGCTCATCCCATTTGGATCCCAAGACTTACCTGGGATGCACCTGGAATCTTTCCAGGTGGAATTTGCGGGGGGAAACCCGCTCTGATCATTCCTGCATGGGAACAAAGCGACTCTGGGACCTTGGTTTTCCAACCGGCTCCTTTGGCAGCGTGTCCAAGAGGGAAAAATGTCCCTGCTTTTCAAGTGGAGCCAGGGCCAATGTAAATATTTATGGAATATTTTATTACAATCCCAATTTACTCCTTGATTGGAAACATTTCCTAATAACCCTCTGGAAAATCCAATTAAAGTGCAATTTAAGGGGTTTGCTTTGGGGTTTTTTTGGAATTGCTCTTTTGCCAGGAATGCTGATCCATAGGTCGAGTGGAGGGTTGGAATGTCAGCGGGGTTGGATGTCCATGGAAGAGCCTGGATTTCAAAATATGGGGAAAATAGCTGCTTCCTTGGGAAATCCTGGTTTTCCTTGGGAAATCACGGTTTTCCTTGG